TCTGAGCCACCCCAGTAGCTGCTGCTGGAGAACAGAATAGTTTAAGGAACAAGCTAGATAAGCAAGTTTGCGTAAGTCCCCGGTTTTTCTGAAAGTCACACCCACATCTTACTATTAAAGCACTAATAAGCCACTTTAACAGTAATGGCTTCCAGGGAACTGTCATTTTCAAAGGTGCTGACAGTGAGGAAGCCCCGAATCCCATCACAGAGCTGCAATTCCCAGAGTGGTTTAAAAATAATGCCTCTTCCCAGAGAACTCTGGATACTGTAGCTCTGGCATGGCCAAATTTGGTCCTCCAGTTGTTTTGGGACTACAATTCCCATCATCCCTGACCACTGGTCCTGTTAGCTAGGGATGATGGGAGTTGTAGTCCCAAAACAGCTGGAGGGCCAAGTTTGGCCATGCCTGCTGTAGCTCCAGGAGGGGAGCAGGAGTCTCCTAACAACCCTCCTTACAAACTACATTTACCAGGATTCTTTGGGGGAAACCATGACTGTTCACATAGTATAGTGCTTTAAATATAAGGTGTAGATATGATTCAAGCATTCGGAACATCTATGTGGGGCTTTGTTTGGGATTTGTTTGGACACTTGCAGCTGGTGCAGAAAGCTGCGCCATACTAAGCGTAGAATCTGGAGATGAACAAGTTGCACTTATGGTGAAGCAAGTGCACTTGCTACGGATGAGCTACTGGGCTGTGTTCAAGGTCGCGTTGCTATCATTTAAAGCCATAAACTCAGAAATAGGTCGCCTGAAGGCCCACCTACTCCTGAAAAGAGAGATTTTATGAAGAAATTTTACTTGTGGCACAGAACATTATAGGGTGGTAACACAAAAACAAGGATTTTTGGCCATTGCCCTGCACTGTAACGATCTTCCCTCTACCATAAATGAAACATCATCCAGCAGTTGCCTCACTTGATTGGTAGGGTATTTTGCCTAGTCTTTTGCTGACTCGTAAGACTAGACTATTTTATAACTTGATTTCTGTTTTCTAATCTTTTTTCTGTTCAAACACTTGTATTTTTGTATACCACTTAAAGAGATATTAAACATTAAGAGGCTTGTAAATGCCTTTAAATAAATAATACTGCCTCTGATACTGGAGCTGGAGAAAACACCATTATGATGGGTAGCCACTGTTAAAGCCTTATTCTCCATGAATTTGTCAAAGTTCACCAACCAAGATGTACACAGAAGCAAGTACATTGGGAGGCCAAGTGGCTAATTAAGAATAATGCTTCGCTACCCAGCTCACATCTCATTGGGAAAGCAACAGCAAAAAGTATATATAAGCCACAGGAAAGAACATGGCATTCCCCTCGACCTCTCAGTGGCTTTTGATACCATCCACCATGGTACCCTTCTGAAGCAGCTGTCAGTTAGGGGTTGGTAGAACCACTTTGCGGTAGTTCTGGTCCTACTTGGATGGATGTTTCCAGACGGGATTGCTTTGGGAGCGTTCTCCAGCCCTGTGAAGCTGTCAATGTGGGGTTTCTTGGGGTTCAATTTTACCCCCTATTGCTTGTAAACATCTACATGAAAACACTGAGTGGGGTTATCTGGAGGTTTGGAGTATGCTCTTCGTCTTGCCTCAGTAATGGACTGGATGAGAGCCAAGAAACTGAAGCTCAATCCAGATGAGACAAAGATCCCACCAAGCCTCAATATAGTTTATTTTTTAGCCACCCACCATTTGCTCCAATAAAAAAAGTAACTTCAAAATATATTAACGTAAGATCATCACCTTTTTCAAGCTAGGCTTTCTGTACCCTTTGTGTGTGATTTGGGCAGGGGCAAAGGAGGGGAAACAGGCAACAAGCACAGAAACCAAACAGGCCTACTTAAAATAAATTGATTTCTTTGCTCAAGTGTGTCAGAAGCAACTTTCAAGAATCATATACCACATGCTGAGATGGAATGTCACATGAACAGAGAAAAGCAAACCAAGCACTAGCAGTGCAGACAAGAAATATGCAGATAATTAGTCCATAATATACAGAAAAGGTTGAGGGAAGAAAATATTAATTCTGTTTCTATGGTGAATGTGATTTCAGCAGTATATGCTTACCATGGATGCCTGCTTGTAAAAGCCCGTGGCATTTCTCAGAGATTACAGGGGGGAAGCCATTTTTTTTTTTTGGTTCATTTTGTTGCATGAAAAATTTAGCACTCTTAGGATAGGGAAGCCAATCTAGGGCCTATGTGTGCCTTCACTTCTCCTCCTCCTTCGTCTGGATAGAAAGCCAAATATAATGAAATACAGTACCATGTTGAATCTCTAACAGGATATCCAATCTCTATTGAAGAAAGAGACTATTAAAAATGGAGGGTTCTGGGAGATGAAGCTCAATATAAAAAAAACTAAGATCATGGCCACTGGTCCCATCACCTCCTGGCAAATAGAAGGGGAAGAAATGGAGGCAGTGAGAAATTTTACTTTCTTGGGCTCCATGATCACTGCAGATGGTGACAGCAGTCATGAAATTAAAAGACGCCTGCTTCTTGGGAGAAAAGCAATGACAAACCTAGAGAGCATCTTAAAAAGCAGAGACATCACCTTGCCAACAAAGGCCCGTATAGTTAAAGCTATGGTTTTCCCAGTAGTGATGTATGGAAGTGAGAGTTGGACCATAAAGAAGGCTGATCACCGAAGAATTGATGCTTTTGAATTATGGTGCTGGAGGAGACTCTTGAGAGGCCCATGGACTACAAGAAGATCAAACCTGTCCATTCTGAAGGAAATCAGCCCTGAGTGCTCACTGGAAGGACAGATCCTAAAGCTGAGGCTCCAATTCTTTGGCCACCTCATGAGAAGAGAAGACTCCGTGGAAAAGACCCTGATGTCGGGAAAGACTGAGGGCACAAAGGGAAGGGAACGACAGAGGACAAGATGGTTGAACAGTGTTCTTGAAGCTATGAACATGAGTTTGACCAAACTGCGGGAGGCAGTGGAAGACAGGAGTGCCTGGCATGCTCTGGTCCATGGGGTCACGAAGAGTCGGACACGACTAAACGACTAATCAACAACAATTGTGCCAGTTCACATATTATCCAAAGGCTTACCCTCTCTCAGAGTACAAACTGTTCATGCTGGGGTATGTTGACAACCTAGCATGAAGAGAATGCACTCAAGTCTAACTTCTATTTGTTTTTAATGTCTAAGACAATTTACTGGCATTATGCTCAAAATGTGGATATTCTGTGAATGACACATTTATGTCTTAGATAAGACACATATTTATCCCGTCTGTTCCAGCTTGCTGCCAGTTAACTGGCAAGTGATTTCTGCAACTGAAAGCTTTCCAGAAAAAAGAGACTGCTGGCAACCCACAAATACCCAGACATTGTCCAGAAAGCTGATAATCCAATGCACACAGAGTACTGGGATGGGTAGGCTCCTGTGTTATTAAGGAACCATAGCTATGTGTTCCTATGACCATGGTATTACCACTGCAGGATTTATTGTTTGGCCATTATTAATTATCCCCATTATCTCCTCAGCCACCAGCTTTGTGGCATGCATTTTGCTTGCCTCCATATCGGTCTTTTATGTACAATGAGAAAGATGAAAAAGGTAAAAGAATTTTTATTTACTTTCTGAGATCACAGAGCAAATCATGCAGTCACAATACAGCAGTTAGCAAAACTATAAAAGGGAAAGGACTTTTAAGCTGTCAGTGGCAGATGTCCCCAACAGATATAAAAATTAACAGCTTGGAAAGTGGCAGTCTGCAACTTCAGGGGGAAACACCCCCCCCCCATTACTCACAACTCCACCACATACATAGACAGTGTTGGACTCTCAACAACACACTACTTTTACAATAGATCCAGTGCACAAGTTGTGTAACCAGGAAGTTGATAAACCCAAGATGAATATAAAAACATAAGGCCCTTTCTTCTGTTCAACTCTGCCAAGCAACTGTACATCCAATTTGATAGTACTTTTTGCTTTTGTTGCACATAAAAGACTATGAAGGCTGTGCTGTTCCTTGTTACAAGGAACCACTCTGAAATTAGGAAGGTGCATTTGAAAGGAAGAAAACACTGTATTTTGTATTTAAGGTGATGCCCCCCCCCCCGATACTTTGGACTCCTAACTTCCAACATTTCCAGCCAGCATGCAAGCTGGAAATTAACGAAGAAAACCTCTAACATTCCAAAAGACAAACTTGTTTTAGAATGTTACAGCTAAATTTCTGAAATGGGGCTGCTGCTGCATTAATTCATTTTTTAAAAGTTGCATGTTATTTTAAGTGATTGCAATCATCATACAAGGCCCCCTTGTATCTTCTTGTGCCCCCTACATGACAGGTCTGGAGGATGGCAACACCCTGCCCCCAGGAAGGTTCAGCTGGTGCCTTCATTATGTACCTTTAGGAACCAGGCAAAAACATTCCTCTTCTCCTGGACCTTTTGACTAATTAACCTACCCATGGCCTTTTAAGCTCTCTGGGTGTGGTGTGGTGTGGTGTGGTGTGGTGTGGTGTGGTGTGTGTGTGTTGTTGTTTTGCTTGTCATTATGTTATGTAACCTTGTGTTTTTATATTGTAAACCTCCCAGTCATACCTGGATGGAGGACGGCATATCAAACAAGCAAGCAATGTTGTAAGCCACTTTGCAAATAGGAATATTTTAAAGAAGTAAAAAGCCAAAAAAAAAGCCAGGGAAACCTTCAACTGAAACACAGCCTCATACCTGGAACGTGTGCGCCGCCTACTCATTCCTGGACTGTTGCTGACACGATATGCAGTTGGGACGCTCCTCTCCTCCCTGCGCCTTTCAGGTGTGTGAGCTCTTCTCCTGGGTGATCGTGAGCGAGACCTGAACAGGAGGCAGAAGAGGGAAATGTTCAAAATCCCGAGTGGGAAGGGATGGGCCTTAATTTCATTACCTGATTTCAGTAGGTGTGCATTATCTTCAAACCTCATTACAAGATGTACATCCTGTTACACCACAAATATATATACATATATTTAAAGAACCAGCAGATAGGTGGCTCAGTTGGTTAGGGCGTGGTGCTGATAATGCCAAGGTCAACATGGGTTCCGATAACCCGTATGGGCCAGCTGATTATTCCTGCATTGCAGGGGGTTGGTCTGGATGATCCTCTGGGTCTCTTACAACTCTACAATTCTATGACAACATATTGTTCACTGGAGATACTGTCAGCTTCCTGAGGGTCCTTCTTCCACACACCCACACATGTTTTGAGTTCTCAATTATTTGATTCCAAAGCCATATGCATTTTAAGATTTATAAGCAGTGATTTGATATGTTAAGTAGGTGAGCAAACGAAGCTGCCTTATACTGAATCAGACCACTGGTCTATCTAGCTCAAGACTGCCTACCCAGACTGGCAGCAGCACTCCAGAATTTCAGACACGGTTCTTTCGCAGTCCTAACCTAGAGGTGCTAAGAATTTTTTTTTTTGGGGGGGGGGGAGCTGCTATGTACTGCACTGCAGAGTGACTGCAGTTTGCCTTGAAAATCTGATCTTATCCCCGATCTTTCACAGAAGGACAGTGATAGCGGTAATAGTAAAGAGGGATAAAAACCAAGACTGAAGAAGCTGGAGATCAGTCAGAACCTTGATGCTTTAGCAGGATTTTCCTCTAAAGGCTCAGCAGTCATCTCTTTGCACTAATGAAGCTGCCTGAGAGCTCTTGCACTCAGATGCTGCTCCCACTGATGGGCTGCTCAGCCATGGCTCCATGCTCTACATCCCTGCGGATTCTGGGATTAGATATGGATGCACACACTTCATCTTCATAACAGTAATAAATAGGCTGCTTTGGGAAGTTAAGAAGGGTCACTAAAAGGGCTCAGATCCCTCAACTGCAGCTGAATTTTTAAGGGAAGCGTGATTACAACTGTTTCAGCCTACAAGGGCTCAGACGAATAAGGAAGCTATTTGCTTAAACTACTTTGTAAGTAGCTGTGTCATGCTCTTTAATTTCAAGTGGTTCTGCTTTCTTCTGGGGGTACGCAGGGGGACACATACCCCTAAACATTTTGTGAATCTTTGAACTTTTGTCCATTTACTGTATTTATTTTTCCCAATTTGAACTATAAAATGGTGATTTTCTTGAGTCAAAATGAGAGTACTGTATGTTCTACTGTATATAGAAAAAATGTTTCTATAAACATTTTTTATAGAAAAACCTATCTATCTATCTATCTATCTATCTATCTATCTATCTAAAAACAAACACAGCTTTGACTATGGTGCTTTCCCGCCCCACCCCACAGTATTAAATAGAGAAGAGCTGCTTTTACTAGCTTGAATAAAAGCCTTATTTTAACATGATAAATCCTAAGGATATTATTTGATAAGGTGTGAAATATTAATAAGGCCTTCCCTTTCAATTGTGTTGCTAAACAAGGTCTGTTTAAAGTTCTATTATGTTGGAAAGATTTGGCATATAATCCTACATCTTAAGGAGTAGCACTGGTGCGAAAAGATGTTGCCTCCAAGGGAAATGAATGGATTTTGAAGCAACGCAGCACACAAATTTGCACGATTTTAACAAAGGGAAACCATTTTGCGCCCTAGTCTAGTTGATTCTTTGAAACTGAGACAATAAACATGTTAACTTTACCTCTGCCAATCAGCTAATCTTAAAAGTAATCCTTTAATCATGCCTCTCTCTGCTAATTACTATACAGGGTTTGTTAGCTGGGTAAACAGAGTAGGTGGCTTAGCAAAGTAATCTATTAGTGAAATACATAAAGAAAATTAATGTGAAATGAAATTCTTGGCTGAACTGAAATGCAAACTTGGGAGTCTGACAATCCTCCACACCCATTTATCAGGAGCAGCCTGAGATAGATAGGCCCCCAGAACAAGTGTCGTATCCTTCTGTAGGTGGGACTTTGTGAACAAGTGGCCTGAGGATTTTCAGGTGTAAAATCTAACTGCAAAATTAAATCACTCACTGTGTAACCACTTATTTTTATGATCTTATCTCTGCCTCCACCCTTTGACATACAATGCCAACCTCATTCAACAAACTTTGTAAGCAAAAATAAAGAACATTTACATATTCATAATTAATATGTTCCTTATTTGTATTAACTGTGAGTTTTCTCAACCAGGATACCATGCATTAGGTATTCCAAGACTGACGGTTCACAGCTACTAAACCACTGTAATGTTGAGATCCATTTTATGCTTATGTGTGAGGCCAACCGAGCAAACACGAGGATCAGGTGCTGGATTCAGCTCAACAAAAGGGGCCCCAAAGTGATCATTTTTCCTATGTGTTAGGGAAAAAGATCCTCCACTGGGGCATGAGCCAATAGGGAAAAACTGGAATGAGTCTAGAAAGCTGACAAGGAAAGGAAACTTGAGGTTTTCCTCACAGTAATGTATCTGAAACATATTAATATGGCCACCCAACAACAGGACATACTGATACTGTGGAGTATCTTGCCATGCTGAAATGCAGAAGGTTCACTTTACCAGCTGATGAAAGATAAGAGACATTTTTATTCCTGCAGGCTTTTTGCCTGCTAAGTATATTCTGTTTTATATAAAGGTTATGCTTTTATCTGTGGTCTGGCTGCATTTTTAATGCTGCCTTGCTAGCATACTTAATGTGTATTAAAATGTCTTTTATTGTTTTGTTATGACATTTTGATTTCAAATAGTTGTAAGCTGCCCTGAGTGGCGCTTCAGCACTATAAAGGCAGGACAAAAATTTCTACCAAAATGAATTCATATTTGCTATCCATGAATGGCTTTGCTATGCAGCAAAAATCTCTACAGGGAAAAGTTGATTAAAAAGGGCGTACGTATATGCTGTACATATGGCCTGATTTGCAGACCAGCACCTGGTCTTTGAGAAATCTGATTAATATAAGATAGGAACCCAGAACCCCTCAATATTCTTGCCCCCCCCCCAATATCTTCCCGCTGGCAACAGGTCCAAATGGGAACTAGTGACTCAGCACTTGTACAGCCATTCCCTAGTCATGCTCTCTTTGTGTCTGGCCCTTTTAGGCATATTTTCACACTTCTATCTACAATGGTGTGGTCCTTTAAAAGTTGTAACTGTAGTTCTAAGCTAACAGCTATCAGGTTTCCAAGGTGTATCTGAAGCTGCATGAGGTTTGAGGAACCATTTGCTGCCAGAGGCCCTCTAGCCCCATATATGCTAGTGCTGGAACACAGGAAGCTGCCTTTTATTAGGTTGGATTATTTGTCTGACTAGCTCAGGGCTGTGTACACTAGTTGTCAGGGAACTGCCCTCAGTGCCGGAGGGAGAGAGCAAAATCCAGAGGGATTCCGGAGAGCGTCCCGGGAGTGGGAGAGGCAGCCCATCTTCTGGGGAAGAGAATCAGCGTAGCACCAGTGGAGAAGGGGAGCAGATGGGGGAAGCGGCGAGGCGGTGCCATGACTCTTTGCCGGGGACCAGTGGGGAGAGTAGAGGTCCTCCGCTGCCTACGCCCTCCTTGCGCAGAAGGCTTCCGCGCAGAGAGAGTAGGAGGAGACTAGGCGTCAAAGAGCTTCTTTGCTGGAAGAAGTTTAAGAAACGCCCACTGACGGATTCTGCCAGCGATTGAGACAGCCACGGGTGAGTGGCTGTCCAGACAGGAAAGGTTCACTCAGGCAACCCAGCCGGGTGTTTGCACCGGCTTACGCACGAGCAACCCCTAGAACCATTACACTAGTCTTTCCCAATTTGATGCCCTCTAGATGTTTTGAACTACAACTCCCATCATCCCCGATCAAGGGCCATGCTGGCCATGACTGATGGGAGCTTTAGTCCAAAAACATGAAACACATCTATTTCAGGGACCAGAGAGTGGTAAATATATGCTGAGAACACACAAAGCTTTGCTAGGGCTCTCTTATGCAAGGAATGCCCCTTGTTCCGAATAGCACCACATTTCCACACAACATTGTTGGGTTTTTTTAGAACAAGACCATGCCTGCTTTCAAAATTGGCCTGGTAACTCAGCGAAGAAGAAGAAAAGGAGCAGCAGGATGCCCCTAGAAGGACTCTGAATATCACTTTGTGCAAGGTATGAATTGTGCACAGTGCCATTTGTTCCAAAAGCCCTTTAATCTTTAGCTTTCAAACTCACAGACTACCCGAACTTCAATTCATCTTCTCGTGGTAAATGAGTCCTAAAGGTTGTTTAATCAAATCAAAACAAAGTTTTAACACCAGTTCCTAACAAAATGTGTGCCAACTTATTAGAACAAAACCAAGTTAAGTTGCGCTCCTGAAAGCAAAAGCAAAACTGCTGGGTGGCTATGCCCAATTAAAAAAAAGTTCAATATAGGTTAACACTCAGAATATCTCAAGTACTGAGCTTCTGTAATCTTTATAGCAACCCTGTAAAGCAGGAGGCCTGTATTTTAATTCCCATATTACAATGCTAGAGGGTAGGTTTTTGGGGGGGATGGGGAGGCTGAGAAATGGTGGCTTCTCTGAGGCCACAGAAGTAGTGCTTTATTTTAAAATGACACACCTTGCTTCCAAAACAGCATAAGGCGTGTGCGCCCCATGTGATCAGCTGCAGCTCTCTATAACCTTTTAATGTGTGGAAGACAGGGCATAAGCACAAAAACAAAACATGCATTTGCTTGAGACATTACAGTTTTAGGCAATATATCATAAAGATCTAATCTGAACCTGGTGAATAGATAGCATGTATGGCAGCCTCACAAAGGTGGCACCGCCGAGGAAAAAGAAATGAGCGTAGAAAAGCACTTAACAATAACATCAGTTCAGAAAACCCACCTGGAATGCCGGACAGTTCTATAGGCAGTGGGAAGTGAGTGCTTGGCTTTTGAATGTGATCGAACCCTGGATTTAGACGAAGAGTGATATTTGGAAGGAGGCGACCTTGACCTTGACCGGGATCTTTTCTTGTGCTTTTTTTTCTTTTTCTCCCGCTCTTCTTCCCTGGGCAGATCTCTGCTTCTGCTTGAAGGCCTTTCAGGTGCCTTTGCTTCCAAGGTTGGCAATGTCCTGATGCCAGTCAACAGGGGACACTGCATGTTACCAACAGTCTGAAATAAAGCCAGGCAGGTTTTAGCATTGTGTCAATATG